AATTATTTAATTTAATTTTTAACTTATAAATTTAAAATTTATAAAATTAAGGCGAATCTGAATACTGTAATAATTATAAGATCCAATTACTTTAAGCTTAAATTTCTATACATGTTTTAAAGTAGGCAAAATCTATATAAGCATTTTTTATTTATAATAAATGCAGTAAGATTTATAAGAAATAATTATTATTTTTACAAGAAATTATATTCACAGTATATATGTATTTATTATTCGTGAGAGATTCAAAACTCTACTCAATCCTGCGAATTCCGTGCGTGATCCCGCATCCCGCGCGGGATTTTGCGATTTGCGTTATTTTTTGTTCGTAAAAATTTTTTCATTTGCTTGTGTTTGAAATTTTTTTGGATGGCAATCCCCGGTCTAAATTTCGGATTTTAAATTATGAATGAAATCGATTTGCATATTATGCATCATGAAATTACACAAGCTCATCTGAACAAATAAACTCGATTATCAAAATCAAATTTTCGAGTTTGGATCCTTTCTACTGCGAGAACTCCATATATAATTATATCATGGAATGCCAACAGCGTGCCTGTAGTATGGCATAGCGTGAATTTCGTCTAATGGCAAGCCATACATCAATGTCAAATTTTTTAGTTGCGCCAATCATCTTATGGCTGAGTATGAATTTATATCGAGAGTCTCCTATTATCGAAACATTCCGAAGATATAAAGTAACTCGAATCGGTTATTATTACATCTGATTACTTTCTTAAAAAAGTTTTTTCGAATATTGTATTAAATGAACATGGACACTATTTGGATTAGTCAATGTTCATATTTGTCCATATCCAGATAAAATTTTTAATGAACATAGTCCAAATGCCAACACTACTTGATGCTATTCTTTATTCATCGCATTTTTCATATTTAAAATTTATCTATAATAATTTTATTTTGTATTAGACAATTTTTAATACAAAATATCGTTAAGATTTCTGATTTGTTGATTCACATGTGCACTAAAAATGATCTATACCAATAATCAATAAAGTTATCCATTTTCATGCACTTTATACGCTAAAATAATAAAAGTAAGTATATAATGAAATTATAGTTTCTTAAGCGAAAATTTTTTTAATTTTGGCGGCTCGGTCGGCCCGAGGATTGGCATCGGCTCGTATCACTATTCATTACATTAAGTGAGATGCTTGAGAACGATCTTAGTAAAACCAATCTAATTTATTTAAATAGATTTAGTACAAATTTAAATAATATTTACTACAGTCAATCCTCCATAACAATAAGCGCACTTTCTCTCTAAGCAGTCATTTGATCGGTTTAATGTATTCATTTGGATGTTCGACCGCCCTAATCAAAATGTGACTGTTTCGATCGCCAAAGTAAATCAAAATGTGACTGTTTCTTTGCAAAAGAGAGTTAATAAATAAATTTGGTATCAATCAGGTTTTTACAACTGGTTTTATTTTTATTTCATATCATGTTGGAAAAAATGGTTCTATTATGTTTTAAAGAGCAAGTTACAAGGAATTCATACACCCCTTGTTTCTGAAGAAAAGAATTATATAAAAAGTTAGTGATTTATTATATGATTGTCAGGTTTATCACGATACATTTTTTTAGCTGTTACCCGATTCACACCTAGGTATATGGAAAGAAACGGGAAATTCTTGATTTTTGATATTTATTAATTCTGATCTTATTTTCGACTCCATACTCGTATCAATGTCAAAATATGCGAAATGATTTAATAAATACCGGATAAAGTTCTAAAATTTTAATATCTTCTGTTCTACAAATATAGTATTGGATATTACATGAAATTATAAAAAGTTTATAAAACATATATACAGTATAATTATTTATATTTTTTGTTTGAGATTTAAGTTTATATAAATTAATTTATTTATATACAGTATTAAATTTAGTTACAAAATAATTCTTTTAAGGGCTTTGTAATTTACCGTCATAGTGATGTATCGATACCCCCGGGTCTATATAAGTAAAATCACGAAAGTCAAAACCCGATCCAATAAAACTAAAATATTAGGAAGTTGAACCTGATTTTTAGGAATAAAATTCGAATAATTAATATTTAACTCAAATCAAAAATTTGGTTAACTCAGATCGTGTGATGTCGGGTTTCAATATTCAAACCCGCTTATGATCAGTAATAATTATTACCAATCATAAGTGGATTTGGAATATTAGAACCCGACATCACACGATGCGACAATAGGGTAGTGATACATCACACTATGGCGTTAAATTACAAAATTCTTTTTTTAAATATAATAGATATATAATTTTCAAATTTATAAATCAAGATTCACATCACAGAGATTCTCAATTATAATTTAAAATTACGCATATTACAAGTCTGTGAGTATTTTTACAATTCGTTATATCCAGGGTTCGGTATAACGAAAGGTAACTTTATTCGAAATCGAGATTTCTATTGTTCTAAATGAATAAACGAAAATGTCTATAAAAACTGTTGTCAAGAAATCATGTTAAACATTGAACCGAATAAAAAATTTTTGTTAACCTCTGAGAATGTTCATTATTATTACGATTATATAATATTCATTTTCAAGTTTTACTTCTGATACCATCTTAATAATACAGCACGTATCAAAAAAATAAAGGTTTAAAAATTTTGAGTAATTACGATAAAAATTTTTTAAATTAAATAATTTATTATTAATATATTATCCAGTAAAACCCAGTGTAAGAAAAGATAATTAGTAATTAAATAATATAAGTGAACAATTGTCATATCGAATGAATCAACCGAATGAATCATAAAGGAGATTTTTTTAATAAATTACATAAAAGAAAAAAAAATAATCTATAATGATATTTACTATTATTTTAATAGTGTTTCTACACTATAAAGTCATAATTTATTATTCTTTGTGAGTTCAACTCTCACCATAATCTCCATAATCAAAATCTCCAAGTTGTCTTCTATCCAAGATATTTTCTCTTACTCTTATACCTTCATTGCTATTTACAGTAATATTGTTAACACCAGCTGAATTATACTGTTGATGCTGTTGACGTAAAGGGTTCTTCATTCCTACTCCATATCCTCCCATATTATTATTATTTTCTGGCAA